AAAAAAAAAAAAATATTCAAATTTTTTTTTCTCTCTTTTATTGTTAAAAAATTTTGAAACAACATGAAATAACTGTGTTGCAGATACTGTTCGGTATCCGAATCCGATGATCAAAGTTGAGGAGACCAGTTCACAATTGAAAGTAGCCCCAAGTAGACGTGGTTCAGCCAAAACCACTTGCGTATTTCAAAGTCAGTCGACAGATAAGTCGACAGAAAATGGTGGAATTTTAAAGCAATCACCAGAAAAAGTTGAACGTATTAACAGCAGGTTGATTTTTTGATAAATTTTTGTCAAGAAAAAGTGCAGCTAAAATTTATACATATTCACTTTGATACACATAAATTATACAAGGAAAAAAACTTGTTTAACCAAATCTTAATTGTTGCTGAAAATATTTATCATTATAAGTCTTTTTATCAACTTTATCAGCAGCAGCAACTAATAGTAATGCCAGGAAAATACTGATAGATCTTTAAAAATCAAATGGTGATTAAGATCATCTAATACTGAAAAGTATATCGTTGTTAAATACTGTAATACAAATTTTTTAAACAAAATCAACAATCTTTATTCCTTTTATATAACTCATTACAATTTATAAGCCTTCTTAAGCTTTTTCTTTCGTTCGTTATATGTACAGCTTTTTTAATAATAACTATTTTCTACTGCCACTGCTGCTGCTGCTGCTCCTGTTGTTGCTCAAATTTGTATTAGATGAAGACGAAAAGACAGGGGATACAATTATCCACTGATAATTCAACTACAATTTTTATAATCATTTAAAATTTTTTTCCTTTGCTTACAAACTAAAAGTAGTTAGCAAAAAAAAAAAAGTAAAAAAAATGACGACAATTTTATTCTTTTTTAATTCTTACGTATTCTTTATAATAACATTAACAGTTGTCATTACCAGCGTTATGCTGTGCTTCGATAGACTGTCTATAATTGCCTCTCATCGTTTTGATCAATAGTATTTTTATCGTCTTCAGTTATCATCATTAATTATCGAAATTTTTTTTTGTTTTTATTAAATATTATCAATACACTAAACATATAACAAAATAATTGATTAATGTAAGCAAAAAAGAAATTTATAACTTATTTTATTAGTTGTCTTTGTTTCTTTTTTTGTTTTTCTTATTGCTATTACAGATACGGTGTTCCAGTGGATGTATCAGCTGTCAAAATGGTTTATCGAATACGTTCAGAACGTTTAAAAAATCGAGTAAATATTAATGATATATGCTTATATTTAGCGATAATTGGCATTGTGATAATGATTGTGGATAACGAAATTACGGGCCAATGCATTTTTGGAATAACCAAAGTTTGTGCAATCAGCCTTTTTTTCTCATTTTTACTCAATATTTTATCTCTTCTTTTTTTTTGCGTTTAAATTTCTGTTTTTTTATTACCTCTTGGTCACTTTTTTGGTTAAACAAGAAAGAAAAAACAGTTTTTTTTTGTTCAGAAAGATTGAGTAAACAAGAAAAAAAAAATGGTAAAAACAGAAAGATATGAGTTACATTAAAATAACGAAGTACTTGTTTAAAGATGAATAGTCATGGTTTTGCTAAGCAAAACACTAATATAAGCCTGGTCTAATGCTGTAGAAAATTTTCAGTCTCACCCCGTTTCATTAATGTTACGAATTATTTCTGCAATTTCAACAATATTATTAGTGTCACAAATAATTCGTTATCATATCAATGAAGTTCAGGTAACTTTTATTTAATTACTGTTTCGTTTCTGCGTTTTTTTTTTCATCTTCTTCTTCCTGTTTTCAAGCAGTTATTATCTGTAGACTGCTATCAGTTTGTTGAACATTACTTTTTTACTTGTATCAGTCATAGATTTGTTCATAACAAAAAACAAAAAAGAACTTCTGCAAAAGTAACAAAAAAAAAAAGCGAACCGAGTGGCAGCAATAATATTTTACCGAACTATCAAAAAAACTATTTCTTAATAACACAAATTTTTTGATAAAATTTTCACTATTATTGTCAACTCTTTCCGTCTTTGTTTGCACTAAAAAATGATTGTTGAGCAGTGATAAAGTGACAGAATAAACTTTCTTAGAAACTGTTTCCAACTCAATGAAACAATTGTCATTGACTGTTTTTTCCCCTCGTTTTCCATCCCCATTTTAGAAAGAACTGTGTAGAAAAAAAAAATGAAAGTGAAAATAATAAGAAAAACTTTTGGGGTCAGTTTTTTTCTACTTTTTTTACTAATCTCGTTTTCTTTCTGCTGCTGGTCTTGTTTTTTTATATTTATTTAAACCGCGATGTATATTGTAAGCTGTTTTTGAAAAAAGCACAAAAAAGGAAAAGAAGAAAGAAGAAAACACAAAAAAAAAAAAAAAAG